TTCAGTTTTCCATTTTCACAACTATTAATCATGCACTTTCGTGCGGCAGTTTTGGTTGCTGCCTCATGGCTTCCTGTTTGGATAAAGGAGTGGAGGGAAGATTAAAATGTTCACATCAGAGTGAAAAAAGAGAATTCGTTAGGACTAAGTTTTGCAAAGAGATTGCGAGAATGTACAAGCGCCACTGTTTACGACACTCAACCATGTCGCTTAGTGTCATTGTGGCTGTAGGGTTCATCCCGTCTACCATTCCTCACACTAGAGTGTCTAATGAAGTAAATATAATACTAGACCAGCCCTATCCCATTGCAGCTTTATGCGGTTCTCCCTTGAAACTCCCGAGGTACAGAGTGGCGGTTTTCCTTAATTTAATGTAAATTCGTTTGACAGCGAGCTTCATTCCTTCTGTTTTTAACTCATAGCATTTTCTGTTGGTACACCTGTGTGCTGAACAACAGGCGAAGTAAACCCCATAGTCACTAGGATCCATTGTTCAGCAATGGAAACTGGCAACCGAATTCCGGAACTTGAAGTGGCGGACCACATAAAGCCCTACTAGATTAGATGTGATATTGAGCCGAACGACCGAGAAGCTATCTACCAAAGTTGAGTGGTGCTGGTGGAGTTCGAACCGCGGACTCTAGGACCGAAAGCACGCCGATGACAGCATCATCATCATCGTACAGCGAAATACAGTGAAGTGAACTTCACTGATCGCTACCAAACTCGCAATGCATACAAGGTTAGTGGCAAAATTTAAGGAGGACAGGGATTAGATCTATTTTGAGGGAGGGAAAAGAAGGTGAGCCACGATGGTCAACACACAGACTACACAATCGAACTCTGCACACATACCGTTTCAAGCATTCTGACCTGATAAGAACCGATAACAAGAACGCCGATGACAGCGACCCAGACCGCTTGACCACTGCTACCCTAAGCCTGTAATAAAAAGTCAAATACTGATAGTGAATGCCGATTGTTGCTAGTCAGAACAAAGTATGCCTTCAAGATAATCCCTTACATTCAGTGTCACCGGGAGAATTTTGATTACGATGTTCTTGGTCTGGGAAAAGTTGCCTTTTTATTTGCTCTCAACCTTTTGGATTTCGTAGTAACTAAACCCAAGCCAGATGTGAAGCTTATTTCTTAGTGCATTATAACCATTAACTGGTCGATACCATTTGGTCTCTATACATATATAAGAATGGCTCGTAATGAAGCTTAACATACTACATGTTTTTTTCCTGTCTTCCTTTGTGAACATAGTTTGATCACTCTTCGTGGTAACAGAATAAAGTAGGTTAACATTCAGTTTCTGTTTTTCAGTTTAAACAACCATTAAGCATGCATTTTAGTGCTACGCTTTTAGCTGCTGTCTTTTGGCTGCCCATTCGGGTGAACAATAGGAGGAAAACACGAAAGTTGAAAGTAGGATCGAAGAGAAAATTGAGAGTTCAGTGAACTAATGATGCAGAGAAATTGAGATACATAAACGCCACTGTTTACGACACCCAGCCATATCACTCAGTGTCTCTAACCTTCCCGAGGTCCCCAGCCAGCGAGCATAACGGGGCCTATGTGACACAAACTCCTGGTTGGGATTTTCATACCCTCATGCCAGGTCTGAGCTTGACCAACCTTGGCTTCTTTCCACCCACTACCTGCCTCGGCGAACAACGCTTGCCTTAGCAACCTAATTGGTGACGAGCGTAACACATGTCCCAACCAACGTAATC